TCAAAGGGAAGGAAAAAAGAAGAAGAAAAGAAGAAGAAAAGAAGAAGAAGTAGAGGAGAGAAAAGGAGAAGGCAGAAGAAAGAGGAAGGATAAAGGGGAAGAAAAAAAAAGAGAGAAAAGGAAGAAGAAGAAGAGGAAGAAAGTGAGAAGAAGCAGAAGGAAATGGGAGAAGGAATCCTCAGTAGGGTTATAAGGAAGAATCAGATGTAGAGAGAAGGAGGAGAAGGAAGGATAAAGAAGAAGGAAAAAGGAGATAAATGGAAGACAGATAGAGGAGTTGGAAAAAGTAGGCCCATAAAATGTCAAGAGAAGCACAAAAGGCAGAAGAAGAAGAAGAAGATGACAGTGGGCAAGGAGAAGATAAATAAAGCTAAGAGAAAAGTGAGAGTTGGAAGAGGAAGTAGGAGGACGAAAGCAAAAATCAAAGGAAATGAAAAAGAAGAAGGAAGAAGAAATGAAGAAGAAGAAGAAGAAGAGAAAAGGAGTAGAAGATGTCAGAGTTGGAATAAGAGAAAGGATGAAGAAGGGAAGAGGAAAAAGGAAGCAAAAGGCAGAAGGTTGATGAAAAAAGGCAGAAGGAAGAAGAATTATGACAGTGGGAAAAAGTGACTATAAAGAAGAAGACAGATGTCAGAGGAAGAATCCTCAGTAGGAAAAATAATAAAAGATAAAGAAGAAGAAAAAGGCAGAAGGAAGAGGAGAAGAAAAGAATGACAGTGGGAAAAGGACTATAAATAAGCAGACAGATGTCAGAGTTGGAATCCTCAGAAGAAGAATAATGTCAGCAGAAGGTTAAAGGGAAAAAAGGAAGAAGGAAGACATTATGACAGTGGGGAAGGACTATAAATAAAAGACAGAATGAAGTAGGAGTTGGAATCCTCAAAAGGCCATAATAAGAATGAAAGCTCTGAAATGGAGGAAGAAGGAAGGACAGAATGAGGAGAGGAAGGAGAAGGACTAAAAAGAGAGAAGATGAGGAAGAGTTGGAATCGAAAGTAAAAAAGAATAAAATGAATGAAGAAGCTCTCACAAAAGGAAGAAGGAAGACATTATGAGAGTGGGCAAGTGACTATAAATAAGAAGAAGATGAGAGAGTTGGAAGGGATAAAGAGTAAGAGGCCCATAATAAGAAAAGGATCAGAAGGACAAAAAGGCAGAAGGGGAATGAAGAAGAAGAAGAAGTGATTATAAATAAGAAGACAGATGGAAGTTGGAATCCTCAGTAGGAAAAGGATAAATGAAGATCAAAAGAGGAAAAAGGCAGAAGAAGAAGGAATGAAGAGACAGAAGGTTAAAGAAGAAGAATAAAGAGAAGCAGAGAGAAGGATAAAGGCTAAGAATCCTCAGGAGGCCCATGGAAGATAATGTCAGAGGACGAAAGCAAAAAGGCAGAAGGAAGCGACATTATGAAGAAGGTTAAATGGACTAAGAAGAAGAAGAGAGAAGTGGAGAGGAAGGAGAGTTGGAATCCTCAGTAGGCCCATAAAAATGTCAGTGAATGGACAAAAAGGCAGAAGGAAAATGAACATTAAGAAGTGGGAAGGAACTAGAGGAAGAAGAAGACAGATGTCAGAGTTGGAATCCTCAGAAGGCCCATAATAATGTCATCAGCTCTCACAAAAGGCAGAAAAAGAAAAACAATGACAGTGGAAGAAGAAGACTATAAATGCAGACAGATGTCAGAGTTGGAATGAAGAAGAGGCCCATAATAATGGAATCAGCTCACAAAAAGGCAGAAGAGAAGAAGATGAATTATGACAGAAAAAGAAGACTATAAATAAGAAGACAGATGTCAGAGTTGGAATCCTCAGAAGGGCCCATAATAAAGAGATCAGGGGAACAAAAAGGCAGAAGGAAGAAGAAGATGACAGAAGGCAAGGACAATAAATAAGCAGACAGAAGTCAGAGTTGGAATCCTCCAGTAGGCCCATAATAATGCAGAATCAGTTCTGAGGAAGAAGGAAGAAGGAAGCGACATTATGAAGTGGGAAGAAGACTATAAATAAGAAGACAGATGTCAAGTTGGAATACTCAGAGGAAAATAATAATGTCATCAAAAAGAAAAGGCAGAAGGAAGAAGACATTATGACAGTGGGCAAGTGAGAATAAATAAGCAGACAGATGTCAAGTTGGAATCAAAAGTAGAAGGAATAATAATGTCAAAAAGGAAGAAGAAAAAGGCAGAAGGAAGACATTATGACAGAGGGCAAGGGACTATAAAGAAGAAGACAGATGTCAGAGTTGGAAGATCCTCAAATGAAGAGAAGAATGTCATCAGTTCTCACAAAAGAAGAAGGAAGACAATGACAGTGAGAGAAGGACTATAAATAAGCAGACAGAAAGAGAGGAAGAATCCTCAGTAGGCCCAATAAAAATGTCATCAGCTCTCAAAAAGGAAGAAGAAGCTACATTATGAAGTGGCAAGAAGAAGATAAATAAGAATGACAGATGTCAGAGTTGAAGAATCCTCAGTAGGCCCATAATAATGAAGAAGCTCTCAGAAAAGGAAGAAGGAAGAAGAAGAGAAGATGACAGTGGAAGCAAGACTATAAATAAGTAGACAGATGTCAGAGGAAGAATCAGAAGGAAAAATAATAATGTCAGAAAAAGGCAGAAGAAGAAGGACATTATGACAGAAGGAAGTGAAGAATAAATAAGCAGACAGATGTCAGATGGAAGAAGAAGAAGAGGTAGAATAATGTCATCAGAGGAAGAAAAAGGCAGAAAAAAGCGACAGAATGGAAGTGAAGTAGAGGACTATAAAAAGCAGAGGAAATGAAGAAGAGATCCTCAGTAGGTTAAAATAATGTCAGAAGCTCTCACAAAAAGGCAGGGAGAAGAAGGATTAAGGACAGTGAAAAAGTGACTATAAATAAGAAGACAGATGTCAGAGTTGGAAGCAAAAAGTAGGCAGAATAATGAATGAATCAGCTCTCACAAAAAGGTTAAAGGAAGAACATTAAGACAGTGGAGAGAATGACTATAGGAAAGAAGACAGATGTCAGAGTTGGAAAAGAAGAGAGGAATGGATAATGTCATCAGCTCTCACAAAAGGCAGAAGGAAATGAACGAAGAGTGGGCAAGGACTATAAATGGAAGAAGAAGAAGATGAAGAGAGAATTGAGAAGAAGGAGAAGGCCCATAAAAATGTCATCAGTTCTGGAACAAAAGGGAGAAAGGAAAAAAAAGGCAGAAGGAAATGAACGAAGAAGCAAGAGGTTAAAAAGAAGAAGAAGATGTCAGAGAAGAGAGAGGAAGGATAAAGGCCCAAGAGAAAATGTCATCAGAATGGAACAAAAAAGGACGAAAGCAAAAAGGCAGAAGGAAATGAACAGAGGTTAAAAGTGACTATAAATAAGCAGAAAGAAGAGATGTCAGAGTTGGAATCCTCAGAGAGGAAGGATAATAATGAAGAAGAAAAAAAAAGGCAGAAGGAAGAGACATTATGATGTGGGCAGAAGAAGAGAGAAATAAACAGAAGATGTCAGAGTTGAAAAAGTAGGAAGAAGGAAGAAATGTCATCAGCTCTCAGAAAAAGCAGAAGAAAGGAAGCTGAATTAAATGAAAGTGAGCAGGAGTGAGAGGAAGAAGAAAAAGTGAGATGGAATGGAAAAGCAAAGGAGGCAGAAGGAAATGAACGAAGAAGAGTAGTAGGTTAAATGGAGAAGAAGAAGAAGTAGAGAGAATGAGGAGAGGGAAGGAGACAAAGGCTAAGAGAAAAAAAGTGAGAGTGAATGGAAGAGGAAGTAGAGGACGAAAGCAAAAAGGCAGAAGGAAATGAACGAAGAGAAGGTGAGGTTAAATAAAGAAGAAGAAGATAGAGAGAGAATGAGGAGAGGAAGGATAATGTCTAAGAGAAAACAGAAGGAAATGGAAGATGAAGTAGAGGACGAAAGCAAAAAATGCAGACAAAATGAAGAAGAGAAGTAGGTTAAATGGAAGAAGAAGAAGATGTAGAGAGAAGAAGGCAGAAGGAAGGAAATTATGAGAGAAAAAAAGTGACTATGAATGGAAGACAGATGTCAGAGTTGGAAAAAAAAAAAGGCAGAAGGAAATGCAAAAAACGAAGAGAAGATCTCACAAAAAAGGGAAGAAGAAGAAGATTAGAGAGAATGGGAGAGGGAAGGATAAAAATAAGAGAAAATGTCAGAGTTGGAAGAAGTAGGAATAAAGAGGAAAAGCAAAAAGCAGAAGGAAATGGAAGAAGAGAAGTAGGTTAAATGGAAGAAGAAGATGTAGAGAGATGAGGAGAGAAGGAAGAAGTAGAAAAAGGAAGAAGAAGAAGAGAGGAAGAACAAAAAAGGAAGAGGAAATGAACGAGATTATGAGGTTGGGAAGAAGAAGAAGATGTAGAGAGAATGAGAGGAATGTAAGAAAAAGTGAGAGTTGAATGGAAGTAGGAGAGGAGAATAAAAGGCAGAAGGAAATGAACGAAGAGAAAGGTTAAATGGAAGAAGAAGAAGATGAGAGAGAATGAGGAGAGGAAGGATAAAGGCTAAGAGATGTCAGAGTTGGAAGGAAGAAGAAGAGGCCCATAATAAAAGGCAGAAGGAAATGAACGAAAGAGGCAGAAGGTTAAATGGAAGAAGAAGAAGAAGTAGAGAGAATGAGGAGAGGGAAGGATAAAATAAGCAGACAAAAGTGAGAGTTGAATGAAGAGGAAATAGAGGACGAAAAGCTCAAAAAAGGCAGAAGGAAATGAATGAAGAGAAGAAGTAGGTTAAATGGAAGAAGAAGAAGAGAAGAGAGAATGAGGAGGCCCATAATAAGGTCAAAGGCTAAGAGAAAAAGGAGAGTAAATTATGAAGAGGGCAAGAGGACTATAAAGCAGAAGATGTCAGAAGGAAATGAACGAAGATAATGTCAATCAGGGTTAAATGGAAGAAGAAGAAGACATTATGAGAGAATGGGAAGGAAGGATAAATAAGAGAAAAATGTGGAGAGTGGAATGGAAGAGGAAGTCAGAGGTTCGAAATAAAAAAGGCAGAAGGAAAGAAGAGAAGCAGAAGGTTAAATGGAAGAAGAAGAAGATGAGAGAGAATGAGGAGAGAAGGATAAAGGCTAAGAGAAAAGTGGAGATGGGGGAATGGAAGAGGAAGTAGAGGAAGAAAAGAAGAAAAAGGTGAAGAAGAAAATGAAGAAGAGAAGAAGGATAAGGAAGAAAAATGGAAGAAGAAGAAGATGTAGAGAAAAATGGGAGGAAGCAAAGGGATAAAAGCAAAAAAGAGAAAAAAAGCCAGAGGTTAAATGGAAATGAAGAAGAGGACAGAGAGGAGGAGAGGAAAAAAGGCAGAAAAGAGAATGAAGGGAAGAGAAGCAGGAGGCCCAAAGCAAAAAGGCAGAAGAAATGAACGAAAAAAAGAGAGGTTAAATGAAGAAGAATGAGAGAGGAAGGAGAGGAAGGATAAAGAAAAAAAGTGAGAGTTGAATGGAAGAGAAGTAGAGGACGAAAGCAAAAGGCAGAAGGAAATGAACGAAGAGAAGCAGTAGGTTAAATGGAAGAAGAAGATGTAGAGAGGATGAGGAGAGGAAGGATAAAGGCTAAGAGAAAAAAGTGAGAGTGAATGGAAGAGGAAGTAGAGGACGAAAGCAAAAAGGCAGAAGGAAATGAACGAAGAGAAGCAGTAGGTTAAATGGAAGAAGAAGATGTAGAGAGGATGAGGAGAGGAAGGATAAAGGCTAAGAGAAAAAAGTGAGAGTGAATGGAAGAGGAAGTAGAGGACGAAAGCAAAAAGACAGAAGGAAATGAACGAAGGGTCTTTCGTCTGTCACCTCACGACCATGGCTCTCTGTAATTTCCCGGCTTTTGCAACTCTAAATAATTTTGCCCATTTTTCTCCTTGTTCTGCCATTTTATTCAAAATGGGCACATTTCCGAGTGGTTAGAACGTCTCTGATCATGAGAGCCGGGTTCGAATCTCTTCATGGTCAATTTAACAGAAAGTTATCGGTCGGGGAATGGGTGTCGATCCCAGCGAAAGTGCTTCAGAACCATACCACGGGTCAGATTGGAGAGACGGAACTATTTGATAGCCGTCGATGATTGTGTTAGCACAAATTCACAAGTCATTTTAACTGAGGGTTTAAACGTACTGGCCTTGTTCAGACTGTTGATAACGCCAAATAATGCGCTCTCTCCCAGAAACTGTAAGTAAGATCCACTCAGCATAGTTGCAGTATAAACCAGAGGCGTCTGCAACAGAGATTGAGTCCCAGTAGACTGGTGTCAAGAATGAAGACTGAGACTCGGAAAATAAGTTAATCCAAATTTTATTCGGCAAAATACAAGCAGAGTTCACATCACATGTACTCCTGGTATTCTCGAATTTTGGCTGATTGTCGTAATCCGGAGAATGGGCCGTAAACGAATATGGTGTCGTAAAGGAATGTCGCAGTCCATCTCTTATTTACGACAACTAGCATACTCGGATACGAGCTGCCAGTCACCTAAATATTAGCATTTAACCTGTTCATTTCCCTCTTTATATTTTCTAACTGGCTACATTGATTGAATATTCTTTCCATGTCCCGAGAATGATGCGAACGGTCGCTGGATGATGGTCCGGTGACACATGTTGCGGGCGAGGGATCAATGCCAATTAGTTTGACCTCCTTTTCGCTAGCAATCCCTGGATGACGGTCAGATGATACCAGTTACACATGTCCCTCCTTACCGGGCCAAATCTACCGAGGATCGATTTATCTGGAAGGTGAATTCATGATACGCTGGGGAGGTGATTACTGTATGCGGCACATTTGGAGATCTTGCATTACAATTATTATTATTTCACATTAGAAATAATTTATGGTATATTAACTAAAATACAGTAGTATTAAAGTGTCAAACAACATTTCCAGTTATATTTTCATAGTCTATAGTCACATAACGGTCTTTTTATATGTATTTACCGCTTGTTCACACAACACAAGG